AAAGGTACAAAACAATGTGTAAGTATAACATTTCTGTTTGGACTGGGAAGCTGTTTTCCTGCAGATGACTGAAGGTGAATTTCATGGGATTACATGATTTTTACAGTGAAAACCAGCGGTGCACCGATGGCACCGGCCATCACTGAGGGAATATATATATATTTTTTTTTTACACTTTATTTATACAGATATTTTCATTGAGTCATGAGAACTCAATTTCAATAAAGACCTGTTTTTGGGAGCAGATGGTGGGGGTTAAGGGCCTTGTTCAAGGGCCCAGAGTGGGGTGAATGAGGCTGGAGGCAGGTGTGGATGTTTGAACTTTTCCACCCACATTTTGATGTCGGTCCAAGGAGTCGAACTGGAAACCTTCTGATCACAGGCCCACCTTCTCCAACCTTTGTGCCACCACTTCCACCATTTGAATAATGAATGTAGTTTTTGAGATGATGGGTTTTCCGGACTGGAATTGAACAGAGAAGTAAACCTTAATGGTTTTAGTACAAGATATTCAAGCGGAAGGAGTTGCACTGTTTGGAAGAAGATTTTTTATTTTTTTATTATGTTTATTTTGCTTGTCTGAGATGGCACAGAGTGATGGCTAATGGCAAGCGGAGGGAACAATCTTATCTAGGGGTGCACCGATTGCGGTTTTCTGGCCGATCACCGATTTCTACAAAGTCTGATCTGCCGATTCTGATTTTGGCTGATACCGATTTTGTTTTATAAACGACACTGTCAGGGGTTAAAGGTCACGATGCAACTTCAATTTTCCAATCTTATTTTTATTGAAAAACATACTCTTGAACAATATCCTAGAAACAATACAAACTTGTTTTAACTGGCCATGAGGTAGTGCTCTGAAAAATAAAGGAAGTTCAGACAATTGTTAAAAAAAAATAAATAAAAAAAATCAGTAAAAATCGGTTTCTCATGCATGCATCGGCCGATTTCCGATTTCCCAAAATTAAGGAAATCGGGGCCGATAAATCGGCCGGCCAATTTATCGGTGCAGCTCTAATCTTATCCACCACTAATGACAGAGTCAGGGGGTGTCCAGCCACCATAGATTAATCTTGACCACCCTAGCAGCCATGCCAATCATTTAAAGGAAACTACTTTTAAAGCAGTATAACAAACAATAAATACATTAAAACTATAAAGTATAGTTTCCTCAAATGTTTTGGGTTGCTTTGTTACGTGTGTGTGGGGGGGGGGGGGGGGGGACCATGTTGGATTTTGACACAGTCATCAACCCAGTTTTCAACAGTGACCTTCTTATGGTACCTCACTTCATTTTCCCCAGGTTATCTAACTCACAAGATGAACCAGGTGGACGATATTTCCAAGTCCCCTCGTCGCTCTGCGGCGGGAACAAACAGGGCAGGTGTACTTGTCAGTTTCACTTTAAAATTTTGTGATCTTGGACGTTTAATGGAGCACTGACGGATACTAATAACACTTCTTATCAGGCAACATATTTCACCAGAAGTCCTACACGTGATTTGTAAGATACTCTGCAGCCTTAATGAGCTTTAAGAGCATGATGTTCTGCAGCAGTCTTTGTTGCAAACTTCACTACACTCATGTACAGTCAAAACCAGATTATGGACTTTATAACATATCCAAAAACAAAAAAAATAAAGGACTGAATTTGTATAAGTTAATGGCACATCATGCAAATGTATTTAACCAGTTTGTCAATTACAATTACTTAATTACCACATCCTGCTTATTTATCAAGCCGCATGCACACGTCTTCTTTCATCATAATGTATGTGGGCCAACAGCAATGCTGACAGTTATTTAGTAGGAATGGCAAACAAAACTCAAAAAGTACAATTACATTAAAAAATGTCCAAATACAATATAATTAGATATGTGCTCCCCAACAGTTACTGAACACTGTTCTCTAACTACCAAGTAAAAGTGATCCTAAATTATGCCGTGCTTGCAGCAAAACCCCCGAGTCTCTATTCCTGTTTATTAATGACCAACCTCAGCCAATTTCACATCTCCCTGGGTATCAAGTGGCAGCAATGAGCTCACAGCTCTTCGGCGTACAAAACTCTAACCCACAGAGAAGATGATATGCTTAAAAAAACGCAACTGAGCTCACTGTCATTTTTCTCCCTCTCTTCTTCTGTGCGTGCACTTTGTTGCATCCGGAGCAGCACACAGCTGTGCACCAAGCATCCTGCTACCCACAACACAGAAGACTTAACGACTCACCCAAGGCCTGCATGGCCTCAGCATGTTACAGTAAATACCTATTAAAAAGAGGGCAACAAAACAGTCTTTTGTTATTTGTTGAACTTAATTCGAAGCCCACGCTGTTGCTCTTTAAAGAAGTTATCTCTGCATTTCTAGGAAAAAAAGCAACGAAGTTTGTTTTCAAATGTTAGGTCTGAAAATACCATTTAAGGCCAAGACTACGAAACACATTTCATAAGTTGTGTTATACTGAAAACAGAACACGCAAAAACTAATTGTTTTAGACATAGAGGACAGACGCTTCGTTCTGTGAAAGAACACTTGCACAAGAAGTTCAAGTTAAATGACTTCAGAACAACGGTTCTTAATGTAAAACTGCAAAGAACGTTTGCATTCTATGGTGACTAGCGCATGAAACTATTACAAAATTTAGTAATGAAAAGTAAAACATTTCTAAGAAAAAGATTACGAAGGAAATAATCACTCCTGCAAAGCTGTGATTTTAGAGCCTTTGGACGCATTAACTGCACCAAATTGTGGTTAAAAAAATAAATCACTAAATGGACTTTGGAATATCTCCTAAAACCACATTTCATGAACTGTCCCATTAAAAAAATGCAACGTAAAAGTTCCACAAAATACACATTAAAAAGATCCAAAGAACACACTTGAATCGGTCAAATGGAAAACCGCCTGACAAATCACATTTTAAAATACTGTCTGTAAATTATAAACGCTGCACCTTACGAGAGACTCTCTGGATCCCAGTGGAGAAGTATGTTTAAGTGCATAAAATGTAAGAACTTAAAAAAAGGCAGTAGGGTGACTGAAGGAACTGGGCTACAAAGACAAAAAGGGCACAATGCTGAAAGGAACTTGCCACAAATTATTGGAAGTTGAACATTTCCCATCAAAAGTGTCCTGAAGTGGACATGAGTCTGGTGTCAGAGACTGAAGCCTGAGCTCTGGTCAAAGAGCCAAGACCTGAAAACTCCCAGTCAGTTAGAAATAATGGTCTCCAGTAAGAGTGGGGGTTGTAATTTAGTTTTAGATCACCGGACCTGGAAGATCCTGAGTCGATGTCAAACGTGGATTTTGTTAACAGTAATCTGTTCCATCACTTTAGGAGTGTCAGCAGAGTAGGTGCTTGCCCGAGTGGAGTCTCATGTAGCAGAAACATGTTTTCATATATTTTCATCTTTTCTTGTCTGTAAAAAATAAAGTTAATACAACTGTCTTTAGTAATGACTTTAAAATGCTGGCTCTGTGTATAAATGTTAGTGATGAACACAATTACTAACCACATTAGCCTTTCTATGGTGTGTGCAATGTAAAGTTAGCATCTATGCTAACTATTGTTCAGCCTATTATTAATAGCTTTTTAGCTAATGTTATTGTGCATTCTTTATTAGGCATGGAAATATATAAAATCAGAATTCATGCAATACAATCCATATGATTTCAGTTTGTAAAATTTGTAATTGGGTCTCTTGTTTTTCAGTTTCACACACTGTCTGGAGGAAGATCATAAGCTTACTAGCTGCCTCCTGGTGCTTTTTCAGACAACTGAAATGCATCTATAATCAATATCTATATATATTTATATCATAATGTTTTGTAATTGCATCGCAGACCTCTGAATGGAACTGATTAAAATTAAAGGAGGTGCTTCTACTTCTGGACAGGTCCAGAGGACCAGACTTAACTTTTTTAGATTCTAATTAAATGGTTTTCAGTTAAGAAAACAGTTTCCGTATACAGCAAGACGTCCTGATACATGTTGTGATACACGACGTGACATGGTATTATCATCAACAGGATACAAGTTTTGGAGCGTTATACCTCCTTAAAGCTTAAACAGGTTTTGCGTTCATCCAGATTATGTTCTTCTGCCGGAAAGATCTTCCTTATTTGCGGAAACTAACACCGAACTACATTTTGCACATAGTACAACAGTAAAATCTATTTTTTTAAGTGTTGTGTTAAACTGGCCAGGCAGCCCCCCCAAAACATTTTAGGATTAAAAATTAGGGGTGCACCAATTGCAGTTTTCTGGCCGATCATCGATCTCTAAAAAGTCTGACCTGCCAATTCCGATTTTGGCCGATACCAATTTTTGTTGTATAAGCGACACCGTCAGCAGTGTTGCCAGATGGTGGTTTTTAACAGACTTTTGGGCTGGAAAACCTCCACTCTATCTGGCAACACTGACCGTCAGGCGTTAGAAGGTCAAAATGCACCTTCAATTTTCCAACCTTTTTTTATTGAAAGCATACCCTTGAACAATATTCTACAAAACAATACAAACTTTTTTCAAGTGGCCATGAGGTAGTGCTCTGAAATATAAATAAAGTTCAGACAATTGCTGTTAAAACGACAAAAAAAAAAGGGTAAAATCGGGTAAATATCGGCCGATCTCCCAAAATTAAGGAAATTTGAGCCCCATTAAAAACACACCAGTTTTGCCTTATTATTACAATTTGTGCCCATTTCATAGTGTAACACAATTTTAGGATCTAGAACAGGGCTATTCAACAAAACTGCTCAGGGGGCCACAGTTTCTGAAAGCCAACAGCTCGGGGGCCGGACATCCAGCAATGAAAGTCATTATTTAAATAAACCAAAGTTTACCTTTTAAATTTGTTTATTTTATTGCACTGAATCATAAATGCAATAGCCCTGATCTAGAACTTTAAATAAATTTAAATGTCTATAGATAAGAACTGTGTAACCTGGAATACATAACTACTTTTCGTTAGTGTGTGTGTGCGTGTGAAACTACTCACTCTCTCCTTCAATTTTCTCTGTGCTGCGGGTCCAGATAATAGTCCTGGTCTCCAGTTTTACTTGAAAAGTCCTTCTTTCAGGCCGCTGGGACTTCTTAGAGTAATACAGAGTCAGTACAGTGCCCAGCTCCAGGTCTCGGTACAGGTTGTTCATCTCTGCGTCGTTGTCCATCCACGGAACGGGTCCGTTGGAAAAGAAGGCAGAGGTCCCAGCCATGTTCACTTCCCCTGTTTGTTACTCGTTTCCTCTCAGAACAATCTGCTCAGTCCAGGCCTAGACAGGGTTACCTACAGCAGGAGGAGGAGGAATCCATGAAACAATCCCTCAAGTCTGAGCACCTCAATGTCGTCTGCACACTGGAACGAGTTTCTACAACCAGGAAAATGACATGCGCTTTAAATAATACCAGAAACTACGACATGCACTTGTTACACATCTTCATACCTGCAGAAATTATTTGAAAACAAAGTTCTCACCATCCAAAAACAGTTTCTATCTTCATATGCTCAAATCTTAATAGACTTTTATGCCAAATATGACCTCTAGGTATTAACATGGCTTCTGTATGTCAAGTAGCTGTCCTGATATGTATTGAAATGACCTCAACATACCCAGAACATAGCTTGGTGTCAAAAACTGTGTCATTGCAAGGCTTGTGTTGAAACATTCACCTTAGACAAACGTTTTCTCTCTTTTCCACTTAATGTTTTGAACATGGAGACAGAATAAACTATTGACACGGTTTAATTTTAACGTGTACAACTCATAAAGTACACAGATTTTGAGGTACAGGAGTTTTACTAAACCACAGCTGCCATCTGGACCCATTTGTTCAATGACACCGTGTGTTTGTGTAAAAAAAACATGTTTACTTTTGTGTATGTAGCAGGAGCTATGTTCATCTTGATTTTACAGCAGAAACCGGCTTTTATTGTAACTTGCTGCAGAAAAGCGAAGTTGTTGTTTGTAATGCAACATTTTAGGAAAAGGTTCGTGGTGACTAACGTGGGAAGAAATGTCTGATTGTTTTCACAGCGTGGAAACGGGCCGGAGTGTGCTACCATTCTGCTGGGCCGAAGAAAGAACATGGCTGGCTTCTCCCAAGGAAAAAAAAAAAAAAAAGGAGCAGGTAACAGGAGCTTTTCTAACCGTTTCTCCCCCTCCTCTCTCCTCCACATGCGGAGAAAACTGACCAGGAAAGCAAGGCGTAGAAGGAGCAGCTGTGAAGTACCTACCGCAGCAATCTCGGCCCGACCGCACATCTCCAACGGCCGCTCTCCTCCTCTCGTCTCTTTTCTCCTCTTGCTCCTTTTCGAGTCCCGGTTTTTCCGTGATTAAATCATGGCCGGGCCCTCGACAGGCCCTGCGCTCCTCACGACGACAGCCCCAGCGGTTTCCTTTACTCTCCTCCGGCCGTCCACAGAGAGAAGGAGGCAGGCGGACAGCGAGAACCGTGGCAAGACTACGTAAGTTTCCAAACGCACCAACAGAGGCCCCGCCCTCTCCCCCTCCTCCACACACCCGAGCCCGAGTCAGAAACTACACTTCCGCTAAGGATTTTCACAATAAAACGTATAACTGCTTAGGCTTTTCTCACAGAATGATCTAGATCAGTCTGTAATCAGTGGCTTTGGAGCCACATGTGGCTCTTTAGTCCCTCTGTAGTGGCTCTTTCAAGCTTTGACCAAAACTAACTTAAAACCGAATTTTATTGGTTCTTATCGCAACAAAAAGACATCATTTTAGCAGTTTTCTTGTGATTTCCTTTGCAAACATGTGAATACAAGAACTAGGACTAAAACATATTCACTTTAACTTTATGCTTTATTTTTTCAAAATAGGATACTTAATTTTTCTGTGATTAAAAAAAAATAATAATACAGAGCTGCATAGTCCATTGTTTTAGGTTTTTTTTGTTTGATTTTTTTAATTGGCAAAACTATATTATTTTTCAGCGACGTTAAGCCAGGTCCTCTGGACGGTTTCTTTGTGTTGAAATGTTTCGTCCTTCATCCAAAGAACTTCATCAGTCTGAGACGCCACAACAACCTCAGTCCTATAAGGAGCACACTCACATGGGCCAACCAGTTTGTTGATGATAAGATGAAACGTTTCAACACAAAGAAACCGTCCAGAGGACCTGACTTAACTTTGAAATGGGCTAAATTGGTATCCTTTTGCTATTGTTGTTTACAATAGGCAAAGAACGATGAAGGAAATATATAAGTGGGATTTAAAAACAGTGAAATAAAATTTCTTAAATCCAACAATCAGGACGTCTTGTGGACGGTTTCTTTTTAGGAAAACGTCCGTGGTGGTGACTAAAGTGGGAAGAAATGTCTGATTGTTTTCACAGCATGGAAACGGGGTGCTACCATTCGTCTGGGCTGAAGAAACATGGCTGGCTTCTTTTAAAGAAACCATCCAGACGACCTGACTGAACATTGTTGGATTTTTGTTGAAATGTTTTGTTTATCATCCAAAAGACTTCATCAGTCAGTGGAGCTGCAACAAACTCTGTCTCATATCGCCAAGCATGGCTCAGGATGTTCTGAACCACTTTGGCCCCGATTGCTTCAAACAAGTCGACAGGGGAGAAGGTGGACTCCAGAAACCATCTAAGAACCATCAAACTGGTTGACCCACTATGCAAAGGTGCTATTTATGAGACCGAGTTTGTTGTGGCTCCTCAGACTGATGAAGTCTTTTGGATGAAAGACGAAACGTTTCAACACAAAGAAACCGTCCAAAGGACCTGACTTAACTTTGTTAGATTTTTCTACTTGGATTAGTGAGCATGAATCAGGATGTTTTTTAAAAAAAATCTTAAAGTTTTCATTTTGTTTAATCTCTCATGTTTATCTCACAGAGGAACAGCTATACTGAAGACAGCCAGAAAGGTCCAATCAAGTCATCTGGACCAGTTTCTTTATCTACCTGGATTATTGAGGTTACAAACCTTTTATACTGAAGACAGAGTTCTCCACATTCACATGCTATACAAAAATATTTATTTAGTTTATCTGGTTGTGCAAGTGTTAAAATTTCAAATCATTTAGTCACTTTTTAATTTAAAAAAAATATTACTTTGGTCCTCAGAGATCATTTTAGTGGCTAGATTTACTTTTTGAGGTGTTTTTTTAATTGAACCTAGATGTGCGCTCAAAGTTTTCAAATTAAACCTTTTTTTTTTTTTCAGATCTGAAGGTTCTTGTTTCCTAAATGTTTAGCCATTTGTGTCCAACATATGAACTGATGTTCCTCGTCCAATTTGTACAGTATAAGAGCGCATTTATTTTGAAGGCCTTTGCCCAACTTCCGGAAGCTTCCTGCAGAAACGCGGTGTTTTGTTGTTGGTTCCCTGAACTGCAGCGCCCACCATCGGCTTCTTCTGGACACAAGCCTTTCTCTAAAGACCTTAACCACAAGTTTACAGCTAACTCTGTAAATAAAGTCCCTTCACTTATGGTAAAACATTTCCCACTGAAATACTCACCTATAGAAATAAAATATGTATAAATAGACAAAAAGGTGTGGATAATAATGCTTGTTGTACTTTGACCCTATTTGCCAAAGAGCTGCTGATTAACTATAAAAAATTATGTCCCTTTGTACACCCAGTGAAAAGATTTTTATCTATTCCCTTTTTAAGAAACATAAGAAATGAAAGACCAACAAAAGACAAGTAGGGCAAGGTTGATGCTTTATTCTGAAAACTACAAAGCTGAAAAAACACAAGCTTTCAAATGACAATAAGATTGTGTCATAATTGATTAAATAAGCAGAAATATGAATGAGAAAAGTTCAAATAGCCATCCACATTGGGGCATTATTCTAAGACGAGTTGTCCTGTATCATGGCAATACAAAAACAGCACACTACAAGTATAGGTGATGTGATGTTTTTTGGCAAAATGCACATCCCTCCATCAGAGGGAACAACCTCTCTCAACTCTGGCATACAAAACATTATGCATCAGCTATTTCAAGTAACCAAATCAATGTTACACCCTGTTTATTGTAAAACTGGCAACACACACACACACAAACTGCATGTGAGCAACGAAGAGCTTTTTGTTGAAGATGCACAAAGCATACGTTTTAAAAAGACATCACTGAAAAATGACAAAAAATATGTACATCCCTGAAATAAACAGCAAACTCAAACTGCATGGACAGAAAGATGACATTCTGTGTGCTAACGTGTGTTAGCATAGTGCTGGGGCATCATTCTTCACACTGTCATCAGTCCTTCACATTAAAACAACTAGCTGAAACCCATCCCATTGTTAATTTCATGTTGTTCCTCACACACAATAATTTATTATTCTATGAGAATATAAGGATCTTCCTATAAATCTGATAAATGGCTTACAGATTTCAGAACATCTCATCTGACACAACATAATACTGAATGCTCTTAGTCGTCGGATTAGTCTGCAGCTACGTACACAATATAAAGTTTCTAAGAAGAGATGCCACGTGGCACCTCGGTGAAAGGATTCAAGAGTTCATTTTCTTCTGTACAGGACAACAACCCATCAATATTTACAGCATGATTATTAACCTGCCTTCACAGCCTAAGTGCAGTCTTTGCTCTCTCCTTCACTGCCTTGTGAGTTGGCGAACGGTGGAAAAACGTGTGACATCAGCGACGAACCGTCCTTACTATCAAAGGCCCAGGTAGAAAAAGTAAAAAGGCTGAATTAAAACTCGTAATCCTTCTCGGCCATGTCGATTGCCCAGGCAAACTTCTCCCTCTGCGTCTTGTTGTAGATCTTTTCAATAGGAACGCTCCACTTCTTACACCTGGACAGAGGAGATGATGGAAGCCATTCAGCAAGAAAAAAGACAACCGGGGTGACGTGTAGACGTAGCAGAGCTTTTTGAGGAGATCTAAGAAAAGAGGGCACTTGTTTTAAATCAAAACCAGAGTTCACCACGTTCGGGTTGTAGATTTTTTTATTCAGTCTTTTTTGGCGTAATTTAGATTATTATTATTATTATTATGATACGTCTTTATTTTGCTTTTTTTTTCCCCCAAATAAAAAATGTCACTATGGTCAGAATTGAATTTTTGCTACTTGTGTTTACTTGTTTTTGTTTTTTTGTGTCCTAAAGTTGTATTTATCAGCAATTTTAACAATTTGTGTCACCAACATGACATGAATAGGTCATTTATATGACTGACTCACTTAAAGGAAAAAAATAAACAGAACAAAGAATAAAATCAGAAAGTCGGTTGCTAACAGAAAATCTAAAACAAAATCTATTTTGTTGTATTTATGTCTCTTTTCTGATTGATCAAACACATCAGACTCACCTGACACTAAATGTTTGGTAAAGGTAAAGTTATAATTCACTCGTACCTTGGATTTTTATGATGCTTTTAATAAAAAATAAAAAATAAAGCTCAACAATGAAAAGTTACCACCACCAACAGCAGGCTAAAAACATATTCTAGATCATTTTGTAAATCCATCTAATACATTTTGATGCCTTCTAAGAATTCTGTTTTAGAAGAATATATATAT